TAGGGGGCTGGAAAGATGGCTCAGTGGTTAAGAGCATTGCCTGCTCTTCCAAAGGTCCTGAGTTCAATTCCCAGCAACCACATGGTGGCTCACAACCATCTGTAATGAGGTCTGGTGCCCTCTTCTGGCCAGCAGACATACACACAGACAGAATATTGTATACATAATAAATAAATAAATATAAAAAAAAGAAACACTTAGCTAAATGTTCAATATACTTAGCTATCAATAAAATGTACATCAAAAGAGCTTTTAGAATTCACCTTACACCTGTCAGAATAGCTGGGTCCAATAACACAACTCATGCTGGCAAGGATGTTGAGTAAGGAGAACATTTTTTCATTGCTGCTGGGAATGCAAACCTGTATAGCCACTCTGGTAACCAATATGGCAGTTCCTCAGATAATTGGAAATCTATCTACCTTAAGATTCAGATAAACCACTCTGGTAGTTTGAATGTAGTTAGACCCCTAATCTCCTAGGGAGTGGCACTATTAGGTGTGGCTTTATTGGGCTGGGTTATGGCCAAGTCAAGTCAATATCATGATTGTTATAACAGACTTCACACTGAAACACTTTAGAAACTGTTCTAGCCTATGACAATTATTGAAGTTAGACTAACTACATTTTTATCATGCGATGACTATGAATATTTATTGATCAGGGTCAGAATGTAGTTGATCGAAGGAAAAGGTCCCAGATTAGAAGAAGTGGTTGAACATTTGTCTCTCCGGGGTGCTCTTCTTTGTTTTATTTTCAAACATTTAGTAGGAAAAATCTTTTGGATTAAATTCCTACATCACGGATTCTATTTACATGTATATAGCCTCAACCCATTTCTAGTTATATGTGTCCTGTTGTTATGACTTCACCGCCATTATAAATGGTCATGCAGTTGAAGCAATTGTTATTCACTCTTAAGCCTTTGCTATCCTGATTTCTTTTTTGTTGTTGTTGTTAGTTTTTTTGTTTGTTTGTTTTTTTTTTCAAGACAGGGTTTCTCTGTGGTTTTGGAGCCTGTCCTGGAACTAGTTCTTGTAGACCAGGCTGGTCTCGAACTCACAGAGATCCGCCTGCCTCTGCCTCCCGAGTGCTGGGATTAAAGGCGTGCGCCACCACCGCCTGGCTGCTATTCTGATTTCTATTTTAATTTTTTGTTTTTACTTTTGTTTTTGAAAGACATGTTTTCCTGTGTAGCTCTGAGTCTTGAATGTATCTCCTTAGACAATGCTATCTTCAACTCAGAAATACAAATGATTCTTGCTTCTGCACAGAGGGAATTGCAAAGCAACATGCTTGGGTTTTTTTTTAATCATAGAATTTATATTTAATACAATCCAAGGTAAAAATAATAAATGTTAGTATGAACTTTGAAGTCATATGCAATGCTCCTACTAATACAAATTCATAACCATTTAATCCTTAGGTAGAATCACCAAGGTTACAGTATTTGTCTGTTGTACCTTCTCTAAGGCTATGTGCTTTGTTCAAAGCAATGGAAGCCTTTCTTAGCGTTGTGATTTGCACACATCCTATTAGTATGCTATCTTTACTTTTTCTTTCCTTTCATGCCATCATTTAGCATACACGGCAAGGCAACATGGCTGAGAAATGGTGACAAGCTTCCTTTTTCATTCCTGGTTCTGAGAATGCCATTTGCTCCTTTTTGTATTTGAGACAAGTTCTTTTTTTAAAATTTATTTATTTATTTATTAAAGATTTCTGCCTCCTCCCCGCCACCGCCTCCCATTTCCCTCCCCCTCCCCCAATTTAGTCCCCCCCCCTCAGCCCGAAGAGCAATCAGGGTTCCCTGCCCTGTGGGAAGTCCAAGGACCACCCACCTCCATCCAGGTCTAGTAAGGTGAGCATCCAAACTGCCTAGGCTCCCACAAAGCCAGTGCGTGCAGTAGGATCAAAAACCCATTGCCATTGTTCTTGAGTTCTCAGTAGTCCTCATTGTCCACTATGTTCAGCAAGTCCGGTTTTATCCCACGCTTTTTCAGACCCAGGCCAGCTGGCCTTAGTGGGTTCCTGATAGAACATCCCCATTGTCTCAGTGTGTGGGTGCACCCCTCGCAGTCCTGAGTTCCTTGCTCGTGCTCCCTCTCCTTCTGCTCATGATTTGGACCTTGAGATTTCTGTCCGGTGCTCCAATGTGGGTCTCTGTCTCTGTCTCCTTTCATCACTTGATGAAGGTTAATATTCAGGAGGAAGCGTATATGTTTGTCTTTGGATTCACCTTCTTATTTAGCTTCTCTAGGATCGCGAATTATAGGCTCAATGTCCTTTATTTATGGCTAGAAACCAAATATGAGTGAGAACATCCCATGTTCCTCTTTTTGGGTCTGGCTTACCTCACTCAGGATAGTGTTTTCTATTTCCATCCATTTGCATGCAAAATTCAAGAAGTCCTTGTTTTTTACTGCTGAGTAGTACTCTAATATGTATACCATACTTTCTTCATCCATTCTTCCATTGAAGGGCATCTAGGTTGTTTCCAGGTTCTGGCTATTACAAATAATGCTGCTATGAACATAGTTGAACAAATGCTTTTGTCATATGATAGGGCATCTCTTGGGTATATTCCCAAGAGTGGTATTGCTGGGTCCAGGGGTAGGCTGATCCCGAATTTCCTGAGAAACCGCCACACTGCTTTCCAGAGTGGTTGCACAAGTTTGCATTCTCACCAGCAATGGATGAGGGTACCCCTTTCTCCACAGCCTCTCCAGCAAAGGCTATCATTGGTGTTTTTTATTTTAGCCATTCTGACAGGTGTAAGATGGTATCTTAAAGTTGTCTTGATTTGCATTTCCCTGATCGCTAAGGAAGTTGAGCATGACCTTAAGTGTCTTTTGGCCATTTGAACTTCTTCCGTTGAGAATTCTCTCTTCAGCTCAGTGCCCCGTTTTATAATTGGGTTGATTAGCCTTTTACGGTCTAGTTTCTTGAGTTCTTTATATATTTTGGAAATCAGACCTTTCTCAGTTGCAGGGTTGGTGAAGATCTTCTCCCAGTAAGTGGGTTGCCTTTTTGTCTTAGTGACAGTGTCCTTTGCTTTACAGAAGCTTCTCAGTCTCAGGAGGTCCCATTTATTCAATGTTGCCCTTGATGTCTGTGCTGCTGGGGTTATACGTAGGAAGTGGTCTCCTGTGCCCATGTGTTGTAGAGTACTTCCCACTTTCTCTTCTATCAGGTTCAGTGTGTTCAGACTGATATTGAGGTCTTTAATCCATTTGGGCTTGAGTTTTGTGCATGATGATAGATATGGATCTATTTTCATTTTTCTACAGATTGACATCCAGTTTTGCCAGCACAGTTTGTTGAAGATGCTCTCTTTTTTCCGTTGTATACTTTTAGCTCCTTTATCGAAAATGAGGTGTTCATAGGTTTGTGGGTTAAAGTCAGGGTCTTCTATTCGATTCCATTGGTCGACTTCTCTGTTTTTATGCCAATACCAAACATTGAATCTATAGATTGCTTTTGGTAGAATTGCCATTTTTACTATGTTGATCCTCCCAATCCAAGAGCAAGCGAGGTCCTTCCATTTTCTGGTGTCCTCTTCAATTTCTTTCTTCAAAGACTTAAAGTTCTGGTCAAATAGATCTTTCACTTCCTTGGTCAGAGTTACCATGCTTGGGGTTTCTTTTTGTGTGTTTATTGTTTTATTGTCTGATGAGCCTAGAATGTAGGTTTTTGCACATATCAAGTGTAAGGTTTTTTTTTAAAATATTTATTTATTTATTTATTTATTTATTTATTTATTTATGTATACAGTATACAATATTCAGTCTGTGTGTGTCTGCAGACCAGAAGAGGGCAGCAGACCTCATTACAGATGGTTGTGAGCCACCATGCGATTGCCGGGAATTGAACTCATGACCTTTGGAAGAGCAGGCAATGCTCTTAACCACTGAGCCATCTCTCCAGCCCCAAGGATAAGTTGCTATGCTGAACTTCACCTACATCTTGAAATTTGAAGTTTGGTGGAGGCTATCATTCTCTTTCCCAGGAAAGTAGTATCCATTGCATTAATACCTCTGCCTTCTGAATCATTGCACTGCAGGGGTGTGACTTTCTACCTGCCTCTAATTTATTTTCTTTTGAATGCTTTCAATGAATATGAGGTTGTATCTATATTCAAGGGTATGTACCACACGCGTGTCTATTCCTCATGGTACTCACAAGAGGCCTCAGCACCTATGAAGTTGAAATAATGGATAATTACAAGCCCCCTTTTAGTACTGGCAATTGTGCCCACTTATCTGCAAGGACAGCAAGACTGCTTAATTGCTGACCCATCTCCCTTACTCTATGTTATTTATGATCATCATTTGCAGGGCTGATGTTTTCTTTGGTCCATTTGTAACTGTTTAACATGCACTCCCTTTTATTAAGATCTTATTATGAAACAGTTTAAACTGGGTCACTGTAGGTTCTGGAAGATGAATGTAGAACTTAAGTGAATACAAAACTTTGTGTAAGAACTTCAGTAAATCCTCTGACTTCTTTTTACACTTTTTATTTGATTGCTTTTTGGATGGATACTGGGTTTTATTAATTTGTAACTCTGGTTTACCTGTAACTCATTGCATAGGCTTTGACTGACATCCACTTCAATTTAATTCTTCTGCTTTTTCATTGATTGCTGGGATTAAAGGCAAGAGTCAATATATCAAAATTTCCCCATCACTTTTCTAGATAATCATTGTTCTTACGATTTCTCTAATGTTTTCTCAGTACTATTGATCTGCTTGATTGTCTGTCTCTGTATATCTGTTTATTGGCATTTCTTTCTCAAGGCTGTATCCTATTTAAAGGGCCAAGGAATGGCACACATGAACCTCCTCTTTAGTTTCCTTCTAAAGTTACTGGTGATTACATTAATTGTAATGTCATGGTAGAAGTGTGAGAAGCAGCAGCATTATAAAAAGATATCATTTTAAAAGAAGAATCCAATGTCAGGATCACACTTTGTTTTACTGTTGGTTGGATTATTCTAGAATTCAGTGACCTATGAAGATGTGCACATTGACTTCACTCAGGATGAGTGGATTTTGCTGAATCCTTCCCAAAAGAGTCTCTACAAAGATGTGATGCTGGAGACATACAGGAACCTCACGGCTATTGGTAAGATTGTGAACTTTCCTTCACGTTTTAAAATAAGGGGACAACTGTGTATTATTTATTGATACTTTTGTATACTTGTGTTGGAGAAAGAGTAAGAATGAGCCAAATAACTAAGGCATAGTTCACTTAAGATATTCTATTTTGCACAGTATTCATTAATATATTATCTTCTTTCTGTTACTATATATTAGGCTACAGTTGGGAAGACCATAATTTTGAAGATCATTGTCAAAGTGCTAGAAAACATGAAAGGTAAATTTTATTTGCAACTTGGTATATATTTGTCTCTGAAGAAATTTTAATTTGTCCTGGATGATTTAAAGAAAAACAATAGTATAAATAAACACAGCTTAAAGTATATTGATGATTATTGATTTCTCATAAAAATCATATGCCTCAATAAGACATAACTGGTCTATGTTTCCAAGGCATTCCTCTAAAGTCAGAAGAGAAACAAATGATTCCTTACCTGATCCCACCATTTGAGTCCTAGTCCCATGAGAACTATGCTGTAGAGCTGCCAATCCATTTAGTTTCATAGCACTCAGATATTGCATAGGGAACACCCATACACACATTGACTAGATAATAAGTCTATGTTTAGAACTGACCAAAAAATAAATACTCAGTAGGAAAGCCAGTTACTCATGTACTTGTGACTTTGCCAAACTTATTGATAGACTTAGTTTATGTGAGTCAAAAGGGCTCTTTTGGAGAAACATTAATTTCTACACCACATGTCTGTGAGGAACAGAAAGTCAAACTGTGTGAATTCAATGGACAACCATTTATTTCTTCTTCCTTTAATAAGAATGTCCTATGTCACAAGTAAGCTTCCCAAAATTGAAAGAGGGACTGTATTTCTTTCAGAATAATGAGAAGATAGGAAAGATGTTTAATATTTCAACACTGGGTAGATTTGTTGAATGTGCTATAAGATTATATTTAATTGGTTTTCAAACTTCCTTGGGAAGACATCAGCAAACTCACACTGAAGATAAGCCCTATGAGTGTTAGACTGTGTCCTTTTGTTTGTCCTAGTACACTTTATTGTGGTAGGTATTGTACTACAGGAAAACATAAGAATGCAAAAAGAATGTAAGGTTATTTAAAACTGAGTTCGTCTAGTTCCTTTCAAATATGTAAAAAAAAAATCTCATAGAAAACAATGCTATAAATGTGGGTCATTTAAAAAAAGACCCTTAACATCAAAAGATCTTCAAACACACAAAACATCCCATACTGAAGGAGAGCACCATGAATGTAAACTTAAAATCTGATTCCTCTTTACAATTAAAGAAAATCATAAAATTAATTCCTACAGATATTAAGATTCATCAGTGTAATGTTTGTGGTAAAACTTTTACATGTGTCAATTATTTTTGCAGTTATGAAAGAAACCATAATGGAGAGAAAGCCTCTGAATATACTCAATGTGATAAAGCCTTTGCATGTTACAGTCATCTTCAAAGGCATGAAAAAATTCATTCTGCAGAGAAGCCATATGATGGTGTTCAACATGTTGAAGCCTTTGGAGGTACCAGTTGTCTGCAAATACTTAAAGGAACACATGCTGGAGAGAAACCCTATGAATGTAATCAATGTGGTAAAGCTTTTTCAAAATATGCTAACCTCCAAATACACGAAAGAACACATACTAAAGATAAACCCTATGAATGTAATCACTGTGGTAAAGCCTTTGCACGTCAGTGTAGTCTCCAAATACATACAAGAACACATACTGGAGAGAAACCCTACACATGTAATCAATGTGGTAAAACCTTTTCACTGAACAGTAGTCTTCGAGTACATAAAAGGACACATACTGGAGAGAAACCTTTTCACTGTAATCAATGTGATAAAGCTTTTGGGAGTCGTGGTGAGCTTCGCAGACATAACAGAACACATACTGGAGAGAAGCCTTTTGAATGTGATCAATGTCATAAAGCTTTTTCACAGAGCTGTAAACTCCGTATACACAAAAGAACACATACTGGAGAGAAACCGTATGAATGTAATCAATGTGGTAAAGCCTTTTCATATATCAGTAGTCTACAACTTCACAAAAGAACACACACTGGAGAGAAACCATATGAATGTAGTCAATGTGGCAAAGCCTTTTCACAACTCAGTAGTCTAAAAACACATAAAAGACTTCATACAGGAGAGAAACCCTATGAATGTAATCAATGTGACAAAGCCTTTTCACGCCAAGGTAGTCTCCAGATACATAAAAGAACACATACTAGAGAGACCTTATTACTGTAATCAATGTAGTAAAGAATTTGCATGTCATAGAAGTGTACACATCCGTCAAAGAACACATGCTGAATAGAAACCCTACACTTTTAGATAATGTGTTAGAGCCTTTGTATATGTCATCAGGCTTCAAAATCTTGAGAAAAAAAATCATACTGCAAAGAAACTCTTTTCTTTTTCTTTTATGGTTTACCTAGATAGAGTTTTCTCTGTAGCATTGGAGTCTATTCTGGAACTCACTCGTAGATGAGGCTGACCTTTAACTCATAGAGATTTGTCTGTCTCTGTCTCCCAAGTGCTAGGATTAAAGGAGTATGCCACCACAGTCCAGCCTGACAACCCCTTTAGGTGCAATCAGGGTAATAAAGTTTTATTCTTCTTGGTAGTGTTTATACAAAAGTAAACTTTTAGTGGATTTAAAGTCTATTAAGGCCTTTGCATATCACAGTACTCTGAGGACCTCAGAACATTCATACTGAAGGGAATGTAACTATAAATGTTTTGAAAATATGTTCAGCCAACACACATTTACTTACATAAGACTGGGAGGAAAACAAGTCTACAAGTATCAAATCTGTTCATGCATTATGAAGACTATTTTGTTTGCACCTGCAAAATTATATGGACAGAAGTCCTATGAATTCAATGATAAGGTAACCCTTTTTGATTTGTCACTTTTCTTCAGTTATATAAATACAAATATTAATTTATATAAATATAAATTTGTAGAAGTTATCTCAATTCAGGAAATACTCAAGCTAGCTTAAAGATAAACAATTATATTTTTACTTATTATAAGGGGAAACTCATTCCACAAGAATGGAAAGTTCAAGTTTCACTGTGTCCCACGAGAATCACCCAGAGAGCAAGCACCTGGTCCATCTCAGTTTTTCTCCTGGGCTCCTGGAAGCCACAGCTTAACTAGGTTCCAGTTCTTAAAGATGATTGGTTAACAAAGCTCCCCCTATCACTTATCCAGTTGTAAAATTTTGTAGATGTGTATGATGCCTCTTCTGTGCCTGCGATAAAGCATAATGTCTAAGTCAATTTATAAAAGATTTTAATGTGACTCTGGATTCTAGATAGTTACGTGAGCCCCTTGATAGTTTTGTCACAAGAAGTGTCAGACACGACAGCTATATTGGGAGGCTAAGAACTCACATCCTCAGCCTGCAGCATGAATCAGGTGTAGGAACATGAAATGGTGTGTGAATGTATACTCTCAGGAACAAACTCGTGACATATTTCTTCCAGGATGACAATATTTTCTAAATTTTCCCAAATGATGCCATTAATTGAGAATGATTAATATCCGTAACTTCAAGTCTACATTCTTGCTTTCTATTGCATGATCCAAATCACGATCGAGAAAAACTCTGGAAGTAAGCCTTTAAAGGCCTCAACACCTGGGTTACAAGAATGAATGCTTACAGGAGAAAAACATTCATGCGTGAAAAAATTGTCTAGTCAAAGATTTTATTTAATTTTAATGTGCCTTTGTGTGGGTATGTGAATATTCATGCCTGCTCCCAGGAAGGGTAGACCCATGGGTCTACCTATTGCAGAACTATCGGAAGTTCTCAATAACTTGACCTTCATCCTGACAATGAACTTGTCCTAGCTGTTTATCCAATCCCTAGCTCTGTAAATATTTTGAAGAATTTTTTTTTATAATCTTAACATCAAATAATAGGGAAGAGCTCCTGCAAGAGAAAAATCTTCATGTAAATGATATGGTAAAGACTTTAGACATCACAGTGGTCTTTATTGTCAGAAATTCTTGTTTCATATCTTTTTCATTATGAACAAAGTTAATCATTTACTATCTTTAATGTGATGGTGGACATTTCTCCATTGCAGTTTCTGGTTAGTGAGAGATATTAAAGTGTTCTATACATTTAGCAAATCCTTTCAATGAAGTTTATTTTGTGCTCTTTGTATTCTTTCTGTGATATTTGTACATCTCCTACTCTACTATCACTTAGCATTAGATATTTTCCTGCTGAAATATATAAAATGAGATGTCCATCATCTAAGTAGAACATTATTTTAATATTAAGCAGTGTGTATTCATGCTTTTTAAGTAATGCTGTCTGTGAAGGAGGGGTGGTGAATTTTTTTTCCTGGATTTCTTTTTTTCCTATAGTCAAAAATTCCCTTGAGATGTCATTTGCTATCCAGTCTAGTTTTATGTCACTAATTAGTTATGAATACATCTGAACTCATAATCATCATGGGTCAGTCTCTTGAATATAAGTCCAAGGGTACATGTTAGACCCCAACATTTGCTGTTTTATCTACATATTTTATCAAAATTAAGGTTAAAATGCATAATAGGTTAGAGTATAAGAAATATTACCTCATATGTGTGTCCACAGCATCATTTTTTTTTTTTTTTTTTTTTTTTTTTTTTTTTTGGTTTTTCGAGACAGGGTTTCTCTGTGGCTTTGGAGCCTGTCCTGGAACTAGCTCTGTAGACCAGGCTGGTCTCGAACTCACAGAGATCCGCCTACCTCTGCCTCCCGAGTGCTGGGATTAAAGGCGTGCGCCACCATCGCCCGGCTCACAGCATCATTTTCATCAAACTGGTAGAGATGTAAAATGTAGGACAATCAGTAATCAACTGAATATTTCACAGTATAACTTGATGTCCTGTGGATATGTATACATTATTTGAAGTGTATGCATCTTCCTGTCCCCATTATTTATCCATTTGTCACTTCATCATGAAGTGCTTCCTTCTAAGGGAATTATCTAGAGAAGCCAGGTAATGTAACATCAGTGAGATTTATTTGAAAAATAGTTTCTGTTATATGTATGTGTGATATGATTATGGAATTTTAGCCCTGACAGATATGTGTTACACCATAAGACAAGTTTTTGTGGTAAACTCTTGGCTCTCTTCATTTGATGATCAAGATTAGGTTACCAGACTTGCACACCACACTCATTTCCCACTAAATCTGCACACTGATTAATTGAAACATTCTACCAGGAAAATGTTGCCTTTTTTCAGATTGTAAACATGTTTTCATTGATGGATAGAGGAAAAACAACAACTTAAATAATAAAACCTATTTTCAATTGAAAACGATAACCTGCTGTCTCTTTTGTTTTTCCCTTTTTGTAGATTATGTTATCCTTAGGACTAAACATTTTTCATAACATTTTCTCAAAAACCGCAAGGAATACCATAATATTTCTCAGTACATAAAGTTTGTTGCTGCTGTCTGATAACTTGAGTTTGTCATTGTGTATACCGAGTGCAAAAGTGGAGGCCATCAGAGGGTATCTGATCCTCTTTAACTGGAGTAAAAGAGAATTGTGAGCTGTTTTGTGGGTTCTGGGAAGCAAAGTCAGGCCCTGTGGATAATCAGCCAGTGTTGTCATCTGCTGAGCCATCTATTCGGTCTAGTGAACATGTCATTGGATTGTAGAGGGAGCCCAGAGTTCCAAGAAAGACTGTGATTAGCTCAGATGAGTGTTCAGAGTGCTCGCTGCAGGTCCAGAACTTCAGAGTCATTAATTACACCTGCAAGTATCTGATGAGGTATTTGCACCCAGGGTTTTCTAATTTTGATAATGTTTCCTACCCAAGGAATCCTAGGTCACTCTGGGGTCAGATCATTTTGTTCATTAATTACTGGAGATTTTCTTTAAGTGGGAGAATTTGACTCAGGCAGGGATGAGCTAACTAATTGAGTATCCAATGCAACATGTTCAGCCCTGGAACTAAATATACACAACCAACAGAAATGACCTCAGCAGGTTTTATACACGTATTTGCACACACTTAGTCACACATGCATATAAAGGAGAAAATTAAAAGGAAATAATTTATGAACATGTGAAGAGAACAAAGAAGGGTGAAAGTTATATAATATATAAAGTAAAATGTATGAAAATAAATTTTAAATTAAAAAGCAGCTGTAGAGACAGCTTATAAGTTAAGAGCACTGTCTGTTGTTAAAGAGGAAAAGGATCCATTGCAAGAAATCATGGTAGCTAACCATCTCCTGTAACTCCAGTCCCAAGGGTTCTGATGCCCTCTTCTGGCCTTTTAGGTACTGTGCACAGAAAATGGCAGGCAAACAGTACATACCAAAACCATAATGAAGCCCTAAGAGACAGGCAGAGGGCAGGTCTGGATAAACTGAACTCCGCAAGGAGGCAACTATAACTTTAAAATCTAGCTAGCCCTCTCAGAGGAAAAGGCAGCCTTATTCTAACATTTGAAGAGCTCAGCAAGGCTGTTCATTTAATAACAGCATTCACAGTGGGGATTGGGGACTTCCTCGATTTTCCCCATTTTCGTGTTATTTCGCTTTCATATGTGTGAGGATTGTGGCAATGGTACATCTTTGAAATGTCTTAGTGCTTCTCCTTGGTGCAGATCATAATGTATGATCTAAAAGATAGATTTGCTCTGTAAATTTTCATCTTCTTAAATGACTAGACTTGCAGGCTCCTGTCACTGTATTGTTCAATGTATAACTTGGGACATGAACTAGAAGAAGAAAAAGGATGACGGCATATGTGGAATGCGAAGTCTGTTCTAGACTGGTTCCTCTTCTAGCATTAGCCAGAGCTGAATGCATGCTGCTTAAAACCAGATTTTTGTCTGTCTTTGAAGTGTGTAATAAGCTTTATCCCTGGGAATGCAAATAAATTCTTATATTAAATGACTGTAACACCACTGAATTTAAATTCCCCATTTGAGTCACGTAGTCAACTGTCCATTGAAGTAACAGGAAAAGGATTTGCATATGGAGCCTGGTTTCTCCTTCAGAGCAGAACAGGAAGAACAGTTTACTGAGTACACTGCGGGGGGGGGGGGGGGGGGGGGGGGGGGGGCAGGGAAGGCAGTCTGTTTCTGGAGTGACCATTATGAAAAAAAATTACTGATTCTGGTAAGGGCAGTAAACAGTGGTGTCTTTTGGGGGTACCAGCCCCTCAGATCCCTTTAGGATTCAGCTAAAGCAT